GAGCTATCTTAGACATTAATGAACTATCTAGTGGAGTCACTACACCACAAACATTCTATGTGAGGAAAAATTAACCTCTTGTACTTAAGCCCCAGCAGTCAGCCTTCTGTTACTTTAGCCAAATACATTCTCAACTGATATACTATAGTGGAGTAGTATCTATCTCTCTAGGCTGTTTATTAAGGACAAGGGGATATTTCATCTTCCTTACTATTCTATAGAAGGACTAGAAGAATTTATCAACACATATGTTACTATTCAGATCTCTTCAAATAGAGTGGGCAAGTAGCAAGGGACACCACATTATCTGAATCTGTTTGGCTCCTGAGTTCAGACATTTTATTTTATTATTATTATTTAATCCTCACCCGAGGATACTTTTTTTCATTTATCTTCAGATAGAGTGCAAGGGGGAGAGAGAGAAACATCAACATGAGAGAAAGAGACATCGATTGGTTGCCTCCCACACAACCTGGACCAAGACCAGGAACCAAACCACAACCGAAGGTACGTGCCCTTGACTGGAGTTGAACCCGACACTCGTTGGTCCGCCTACTGATGCTCTACTGCTGAGCCAAACCAGCCAAGGCGAGTTCAGACATTTTTAAATAGTGGGGGTTACATGTACCATTCACTCCTGAAACTAACATGTATTTATTATCATACTCTTGGCCAAGCATTATGTGGCTGTTGGGGATACAGAGATGATTAAGTCAGATGATTGAAGTTGGATGCCCAAATTCTCACTAAACATTAAACTCCCAAAGGGCAGGAGATGAGCTGCTCCCAGTAAGAGATTTAATTCTAGTAGTCTCTACCATCTTGTTCCTCATCTCCACCATCTTTCCCTCTGACCCCACTTTAGTGGTCTCACTTCACTTAATCCCATTCTCCAGCTGCTGTGTGTGTGTTTCCCATATGCCTAGAATACCCAATACTTGAACTCTGTATCTATTTGTATTTTGAATGTCTAATCCTTGACTTCCAAGATTATTTAGGTTTCAAATTGTCTGCTTTCTCTACAACTAAATCTCCATGTACTCCTGCTGGTCCATCAAAAAGTGACTGTTCTCCCACTATGAAACATCTGTGTGGTTGACCTAAATTCAGCTGTGGAAGCTGGGTGCATTAACCTAATCCTGATGTCATGACTGTTATGGTTGTAAGCCCAAATGATAGATCCTCTCACTTAGCTCCAAGATACATCCAGATCAGAATTTGAGACAGTAGTAAAATGTTTTAGACTAGTCCTAAACTTTGCCCCAAAGACTAAAGCTTTAGGAATTGCTGCCATAGAAACACAAGTGTAATAGGTTGAGGTAGACTATTTTGACAAGTGCCAGGAATCCTGGGACCACGATGTATTGTCACCTTTGATATTTTAATTTTGAGGGCCTTTAAATTATTTGTGTATGTGTGTTTGTACTAGTCAAGGGCAGGAGGTTGGGCCAGTTTGAGAGACTGATGAAAATTATAGCATATTTCTCAAAAATAATACACATCTGAACATACACATACAATATTTAGAAACCATTTCTGCAGGTCCAGGTTAAGAATTAACCTGTGATTTGACATGAGGGTGGGAACTCTTTCAATACTATAATTTGGTCCTTTATGAGGTACTATTTTCACTTATCTTTCCTATGTGTGTTTTACCCCATTGAGCAGGCAAGCTTTCTGTAAGGAATATTTAAAAACAAAAAGAAATGTTTATTACCCCCAGTGATGTGTGCAAATAGGGACCCAGGCTTGTGGGAAATATTTGAATATTTGCCAGTTGAGTCCTTTGAAGCAGCTATGATTTACTGCAGACAGGCAGCTCTCAATATTCTGCCACCCTACCTCCCTCCAAAACAAGAGAGATTACCACAAGAGGACTTGGACCCTACACTCATGTTCTATTTACTTTCTAGGTTTTAGGCCAAGGCATTATTTACATATTCTTCATGCAAATATCCAGTCTTGGATATTTAGGGAGCAAAGTAGTGCCTAGTGGAAAGTTTTATAGCCCTCTATACAAAACAGTAAACATTCATAAACGAATGTACTTATCTTAAAAATCTGTGGCCTTTATTTCTTCCACAGCTCTGTGCCTCATCCCATACACATCCATACTGCAATCAGATCCTGTACTTATCCCATGAATTTCATTTCCCAAACTACATTCCTTTCCTGGCATGTGCTTGTGGAAAAAAATAAAAACAGGAATAAACATAATGGTAATAGAAGAGTGAGTGGCCTTGTAGTTTTTCCTTTTTTCAGATCCTTCCCTCCCACCTATACATTTCAGTGGGGTCAACTTTAATCCTAACCTCTTAGAACTTGAAAGTGTTTTCTGTACTCCAGTCCCCTCTCCCTGACTCTGTGGGCAATTACAGCCACCTAGTGTCCATATGACAGATTGCCCCAAAAGTCTCTAGTGAGAGGAAGAACCTTATGGAGTAATTTTTGGTTTTGGATCTATGGGGAGCAAGGAAAGAGAAACTTGTGGATAGAGACTACAGCACAGGATCCAGACATCCTATTTCTTGGTCCCACCTTGCCTCCTAGGACACAACATTCCATCCGCTAGTTATTATAAACAAATGAATTCACTTAACATTTGAGTTCATTCAATCAAATTTATTGAGCAGCAACTGTGTCCCTAACACTGGGACTACAGCAAGAAACAAGATGGACATGATCTCTGCCCTCATGAGTTACAATCTAACAGCCAGCCAGCTAGCCAATTACATCCATAATTTTAACACAGAGGTGATGATAGCTTGGAAAAAAGATGGATTCCAGAGATATTTGGGAGTTAGAGTCTACTTGGAGAGTGAGTGGATATATGAGGGGAGGGATGTGTTTCTGGAAACAGGTACTGAAGTAGGAGACTGGAATAGGGACAGATCCCATAGGCACAGGCCCACTGCAACAGCTAGCTTTGGTTCTCAGATAGTTGAGGGTTTTACTGAGCAAACAGATGCAAAGAAACAACTGCAGAGTTCATTTAACTTCAGAATGATTCAGATAATTCATGGACTATTGCATTACATGGGACTGAAGGAAGCCCTCAGTCTCAGTGTATTTAGGTACTGCTGAAGCCAATACAGATGTCTCCACCTTTGTCCATGCCTTTCATAGTCAGCCCCTCAAAAAACTTGTATGTAGCCCACCCAGTGTCTCACAGGGGCCACCATTCTCTGCTCTGGGCCCTGGTACCCCATGTCAGAAAGATGCACTTTCCCCTCCCTGCTGCTTTTTTGCTGCTACTGTCAGGAAATTCACCTGTTATTCTCATTCTCCCCTGTTTAGGTTAACGGGACCAAATCCCGTTGTTCTCTCTCTCTTTTTTTAATCCTCACCTGAGGATATATTTTTTAAAAAAATTTTTTTTCTTTATTGATTTTAGAGAGAGAGGGAGAGAGAGATAGAAACGTCGATGAGAGAGAACATCGATTGGCCGCCTCCTGCATGGACCCCCTGGGGATTGGGCCCACAACCTGGGCATGTGCCCTGACCGGGAATAGAACCAGCGACCTCTTGGTGCATGGGTCGATGCTAAACCACTGAGCCACACTGGCTGGGCCAAGGATATTTTTTTCCATTGATTTTTAGAGAGTGGAAAGGAGGGAGGGAGTAGGAGAGAGACACAGAGAAACACTGATATGAGAGAGACATAAATTGGTTGCCTCCTGCACATGCCATCTACCAGAGCTGGGGATGGAACCTGCAACCCAGGTATGTGCCCTTGATTGGGACTCAAACCCACAACCCTTTGGTGCACAGGCCGATGCTCCAACCACTGAGACAGGGCCAGTTTTCTTTTGGTCATCCGGAGTTTTGACTTACTTAGCTCCTCTCTTTACATTACCCCTGTCATGCCCCCTCTTATAGAAACAACATCTTGCAAAGTCAACCCTGTCTTGTTTATGCTCCCTAAGAGGCACAGGCTCATCATATATACTGTGAATGTTTGCCTCTCAAAAGCTCCACTATCCAAAGTGTCCCACTCCAAAGGCCCTTTCCCAACTCTAGCTTGTCCTGGAATCAGTATATACCTACTTCTTTGCCTTGAAAAAGTCAGAAGAAAAATTTTGCTATGGGATTAACCATAGGAAGTAGCTTCAATAATTATTGCTCAGCTGACACTTAGCCTCACTGCCTCCTGTCTGCCCATGCATACCTCTGCCAACTCCCTTCCAAAGGCAGTAACTACAGAAAAAACAGGTGACTGCACAATAAGCCTACAGGTTCCCATTGAGTAATGAGCCTAGGACATTGAGATATTCCCTTTACAATAAAAAGAACATAGACTTTGGAATTGGGCAGATTTGGGTTTACATCTTGGTTGCTAACTAGTATGCCTTTGTACTATTAATCTTGCTAAACTTCAAAAGACATAGCTGTACAAGAATGATAATGGGTAGTTATATTAAACAAGGTGTATAAAGTACATAGTATAATATATAACCTGAATTACCTGGTAACCATTCCCTTCCTTTCTTTCCTGTGGGTTTCAGCTGTCAAATACTATTCAGAAGGGAGAATAGCCAGTTTTGTATAGCCAATGATAGACATTTCCTATTCCTGTCTTTGTAAATACCATCTTTCTGCAGCCATCCTATTTCCATCATTGCCAAAAAAAGTTGTTCCATCCCTCATCCCTGCGTATGACTTCTCTTTCTTTTATTATTGAAAAGTTCTGTCTGAATTCTGACTATCATCTTCTACATCTCCCTAATCCAAGATACTTTGTTTTTGTTTTGTTTTTAAATCCTCACCCGAGGACATTTTTCCATATTTTGTTCAGATAGAGTGGGAGGGAGAGAGAGAGAAAAACATTGACATGAAAGGGACACATCGAGTGGCTGCCACCCGCACGACCCAACCAGGGCCGGGGACAAACTGCAACCGAGGTACGTGCCCTTAGCGGGAACTGAACCCCAGGTCTCTCTGGACCGCAGGCCGACGCTCCAACCGCTGAGCCAAACCGGCCAGGGCTACTTTGTCTTCTTGCATCATTTAAAAAATTAACTTCTAGCATTCTCCCTAACTTTCTCAGAATAAAATTATAATGGACCTGGGAAAAAGGACCTTTATACTTCAGAAGGGCATGGGAACAGGCCAGTTCCCAGAATAGAATGGAGGTCTAGGTCCAACAACACCCCCCCTCCCCCCATCTCCATCTCTTTTCCTACAGGGCACAGAAACAGCCAAATTCAAAATATGTCTTGAGTCTACATAAGCATGTATCTCCTTTCCTACAGCTCTGTGAGGTCATCATTGAAGTAGAGCAGTATTGCAGGTGTGTGGAGTGTACCGTCCATATTGAGATAGTCAAATTCTTCCTCCTCATCCCGGATCCCATTCTCTTCCAGGGTATATTCCATGTTCAGTTTCTCCCCTTCATATTTCCATGTGTAGCTGGCAGCATGTGCGTTATAGGGGAGATAGCGGTGTAGGATTTCCCACATTGATTCCAGGGCCCCCACCTGGAGAACACGAAAGCACCCCACTCCCAGAATTCTGGGTGGAAAATACATACATACACACATTCCAAGAAAAGGTCTGGAGCCCAAAAGATGAACTGGGATCAGAGTGCCTCCCCTGGTAGACAGCTTCAGGCACTCCAACAGTCCCAGAAATGAAGCTGGAGCTCCAGCATGCAATGAATGACCCTAAAGTCCTATCTGTCTTTATGGCAAGCCACTTATAACAGATGGTTCTAAAGGGTCAAAGTCACTGCGGGGTAACTTCATCCCCCCAATAGAGTAGACTATTAAGAGTCCAATTGCAATTGCTGTCCAAAACACAGCATGTAAGTTTCCAAGGACTAACTTTCTCAGAATAAAATTATAATGACTAAGCACTAAGACACATGACTGCTGCCCTGAGCTTATGAAGGAGTCTCTTGTACCCTGTGACCCAGCTACTCCCCCAATTCCCAACCCTGGGGACTTAGGTGGTTTGCTTTCCTCGATTGTACCTAAAAGGGGAGAAAATATAGCTCCCACGGTTTTGGAGAGCTGATGGTCTGATCTGCTTGGAGATTTGCTGGGATTCCCAGTTCCCTCTAACCTGCCCCCAGGCACCAGTTCTCACCTCAAGTGTGTGCTCCTGCGACGTGAGCGTGTTAATGATACGGATGTTCCGGGTCTTGGCGGACAGCCGCCCCACTTCATAACGCGACCCCTGCCACCAGGGCTTCCCGAAATCATTGGCCCAGTCGGAACGGGGCAGCTGAGGTGGGACATGCAGAAAGCGGCCCCGGGGGGTGCGGTATCTCTGGGAACCAGTCAGCGGATCTATGTGCTTACGGATCTTTAAAGCAGGGTTTGGGGGATGAGGTAGGAGCAGTCACTGTCTCGGGCTCTGGCTAGCCCTTGCTTTTCCTCCCCATCCCAGCTTTCCAGTGCTCCTCCCCGCCACCCTCCACAACCAGGCAGAACTCACGTCTCTGGTCTTTGGATCAAACCAGTGGCTGATGTCCTGACCCGCAACTTCCACGATGGGTTTCAGCAGCAGATCTCCTGGGAAGGAGCAGCCGCCGTCAATGCTAGCCGCACAAGAACCAGGCACCCCAAAACATACGCCAAAGCTGACCCAAAGTGTGGTTCTTACCTTTGTACTCTTGTGCCAACGGCGTTAGGTCGTATACGTATCCCAGGTAAGACACCCAGAGGTCGTCCGGCCGGTTGTGTTGGGCCACCTCAACCGGAGTGAAAAACCGACGCTGGAAATATTCAAAGTCTGGCCCTGCCACTAGGCCTCGGCGCGGCATGGTTCTTACTCTATTAGTCGCCAGCTCCTTTAAGTTTCTTTCTCGTTCCTCTGCACGCAATCATTACTACATCCTCCCTCGTCCAGGAACTAAGGCGAGAGCGTTTATACGCTGACATGGAAACCATTGTCCTTTTTCAGCCACCGTCCGCAGAGATCAAACACTGGGTGGGCGAAGAGCAGCGTGGGCTCATGGGAAAGGTAGTCCGATTCCCGCTTTCAAGTAATTGAGTTACGTCCCCAGGAGTTCCAGAGTGAAAGCGAACACACTGTTGTAATTCAGAGTGGCCTGGGCCATAGGGTATATTTAGGACAGACTTTCTCGCAAGGTAGAAAAACAAGGGAGAGTTGGGTGATTATGAAAAAATATATTCTTGCTAAAGAGGTAAAATTTCTCGCGATAACTTAGTACATCCGGCGTAATAAGCCTCAGTGAGCTACACCGGAGAAATAGAGGCTCGCGAGATCTCTGCAGTTGCCCAGGAGACAAGGAGGAGGAGCGGTGATCTCGCGAAAGAAACGCCGCAGGGAGAGCTCGCGAGATCTTAGACCACCGGACCCGAAAGGTTCTTAGGGAGTTGAAGGGCCTCGAGGAGGCCCGAGAACAAATGGCTGGAGCTGGGCCGACCATGCTGCTACGAGAGGAGAATGGCTGTTGCAGCCGGCGTCAGAGCAGCTCCAGCGCTGGGGTTAGCGTGGGCTCGGTTCCGAGATTGAGGGGCAGTCGGGGAGCAAGATGGGGAGGGAGGGAATGGAGGGGGAACTGCAGCTCCCGGCAGCCTCTAGGATTCGTAAGAGCACCCCGCGGGCTGTCGGGAGCTGTGGTTCTGTGGGCGGGCAGCAAACCGGGCGGCGCGATCTGAGCGCGTGTCCTGACCCGCGCAGGACTCAGACGGGGAGCGCGAAGACTCGCCGGCTGCGCGCGCCCGGCAGCAGCTGGAGGCACTACTCAACAAGACTATGCGCATTCGCATGACAGATGGACGGACACTGGTCGGCTGCTTCCTTTGCACCGACCGCGACTGCAATGTTATCCTAGGTTCAGCGCAGGAGTTCCTCAAGCCGTCGGGTCAGTGCTCGGGGAATGCACCGCCTGGGAATGCGGTGGAACCTCACTCAAAGCATTTCCCCTTTAGTGCCTGGCTGCACCCCTTATTTTGGGGGGGGGGGGCTAGAAGTCGTGGCTCAAAAGGGGCGGGAACGACGCTGGCCTGCCTCTCTGATGTTCTGACCCTTCTTTCCAGATTCCTTCTCTGCTGGGGAACCCCGTGTGCTGGGCCTGGCCATGGTACCCGGACACCACATCGTTTCTATTGAGGTGCAAAGAGAGAGCCTGGCGGGGCCTCCCTATCTCTAACCATGTTCGCGCATGCCTTTCAGACTTCATTAAACCTATAACCCAAGTGGCGTGCGCGTGTGTGTGTGTGTGTGTGTGTGTGTAGCTGAGATGCGGACAGAGATCGCAAACCCCACCCCTAGGGAGGTTTATCTGAAGTCAGAAGCACTGTCAACCCTCCTTCCACAGCCTGGACATTCAGGAGTGCCAAAGGTCCCCTCAGGTTTGCGGGCAGGGATGGGGGACAGGCTGAGCTTCAGACCAAAAGGCCCCAGGGTGGACCCCTCCATATTCCCTCCCACGCTGCTGCTCCAGAGTTGTGGCGGGAGGGGGTGTCATCCTGCTCCGGAAGGCCCATTGTTTCCCTTCCCGGCCTGGCAACACCGAGTTCCTATAAGCTGGGGTCAGAGAACGGGCTTGGGTCCCCAAGGGGAGCAGGGTAGGCGACAAAGGCCAGGTCCCCTCCACTCTATTGATGGGGAGGTGACTTTGGGGTCAGGGACAGAGCTCGGGTCTGGCCAGGAAGAACAGGCTAATGCGATAAGGGCAGGCCAAGAGACTGAAGGATGCTCCCGTCTGCACACTTGAGCCACACACCCCCTCCCATGTTGTTTCCTGCTCCTGAGTAGAGCAGTAGTGATAGGATTTATACCACCCTTCTGTTCGCAGGATCCAGGAAGCACGTTCAGTTCATTAATTCTTTATTAACGTGTGATTACTCCATCCCCTCCAACCTCACCCACCAGCCTGTAAATACTAAAGGAGTTGCACGGGGAAAGGGAGGGCACCAGTGAGGATCAGTTGTCCTATTCACAGGATTGGGGTGGGGGTCGGTATGTGCAGGGTCCAGCCCAGATATTCAAGATTTAGATATGGGTAGTGAAAAGAAAGGGGTTTTCCAGGATGTGAATTTTCACCAGCATTGAGTCCACAGATGCTGCTGTTTGCCAAAGGGATGCTAGGACCCACTTAGGCAGAGGTGGGGGCAGGGTAGTTTGGGAGACCCCCAGGTTTCAAGTTCTTGGGCCAACGGAAATGGAAGGCAGTCGTCAGGGTGGTTCTTGACTCGAGGTTCCTCAAACCCATACCTTTCCTGATGTGGGAACGGCCTGGGACCCTGGCGAGGCCCGGATTTGCCGTAGCTGCGGGGTGCGCCGGCGCCGATAGAGGGCTCGGCTGTAGGGCACCAGGCAGTCGGCTAGGTGGAGACGCAGGCAGAGGCGGCGATAGCTGGCCAGAGCAAGAACGAGCAGCGGCACGAGGAGCAGGAATCCGGTGACCAGCAGAGCTGTGAAGCCTGGGTCCCGCAGGTGCGCGGTGCAAGGGGGTGCCTGGGAGCGCAGAAACTGTAGAAGAGGTGTCAGGCCTAAGCCAAACATCCCAGGCGGGTAGAAGTTGTGACCCATAGACCTCCACACCCGTACTCACACCACACCCCGGAGAGCCCGCTAACCTGGGAATGGCAGAGGAAGCCGAAGCCTAGCATGGTGACAGCGGGTAGCAGGATGGTCCCCAGCACCAGCGCCAGCAAGAGTAGATTGAAGGCAGCCACTAGCAGATTCTGGGCGGTGACCAGCACAGCGCAGGCCCAGCAGTCCAGGGGATCCCGGGGCTCTGGGCCGCCACTGGGAACCGGTCTCGGTGCCCCTAGGACATCCGCCATGGCCTGCCTGCCTCCTGCCCGCCTGGGCTGCGGCCCTTATAGCCTTCTTTCCTGCCCCTCCCCCGGCCCAGCCTCTCCCCACCCACCCACCCCCCCTTATCCTGGAATGTGGCTCCAGGAGTAGGCACCCCCCCATACCGAGGAGCAGACCAGAGCTCTGGACATTCCACAGGCGCCTCTGGGGAGGGGTTCACCCGGGCCGGGGTCTGGGCAATCTCCCCATCAATCACAGGCGTGCAGCCCTCCTCCCATTCCTCCTTATCACCAGCACACTATAAACAGGATTTTTTTTCTGGTTTTATTTTTAATATTAATATTCTCACACAAAAATCACGGAAAATAGGGGTAGGATTGGGAAGACCCCTCTGCCTCTGGGGCAGAGAGACAGTGCAGTGCGAGGGGGCGGGACTGTAAACCCCCCACCCCTCCGCAGCCCCAGCGTGGAGGAGAGAAAACAACTGACAACACGAAAATAAAGCCCCAGGGAAACTCTTCCCGGGGTGTCCCTGCCCCAGGGAGGCCCTGGCCCTGGGCTGTTTCACGCTTAAAAAGAAAAGGGGGGACAGGGGCATGAGGGGAAGGTCTGTTAAAAATTGGCCAGGGCTGGGAAGGACGGGGTTTCCTTTTCCTCATAGTTCTTTCTTTAAAACTTTTAAATTTTTTTATTTTATTTTATTTTTTTTACAAAATACCATTTCAGTTCCCACTTCTTCCCCTACAGTACAGGAGTCGCTCACCCTCAGGCAGGGTTGGGGCGGGAGTGTGTGTGGGGGGGTTCTGGTCCGAGAAAGTGCAGGACGTAGGGGAGGGGAGCGGATTTGAGCACCATGAGAACCCGGCTGGAGCCGCTGACGGCATAGACAGGCGGGCAGGGCCGGGACACACACTGGGGTACAGGGAGAGCCCAGCGGCGGGTGGCCCCTGGAAGGGCGGGCAGGATGGCTTGGGGGTGCGGGAGGTTGGGTTTTCCCCAAAATGAATAAATAGGTGAGTGGGACTGTTATAAATTAAAAACAAAACAAAAAAATACAAATCATAACCAATTGAATAAACAGAGACAGGTACAGGGATCACAGCTAGCATTGGGAATAAAAAACGGAGGTTGTGGGGGAGGGGTAAAGCCCATAGAATCTCATTAAAAACCTCGGCTGCCGTAACATCTATGTACATACACGAGCATCTGCGCCGGGCAGGCGGCTGGCAGGCGTGAGGGAACCCGTATGTGACCCCCGCCGCCGCCGGAGCCTGGTCCTTGTGTCTGTTGCTAGAAAGGCCAAAGTCGGTGAGGGGAGGCGCTGGTGGGCGAGGGGCTGCCAGCCCCCTCCCCCGTCTCCCTTTTTTTTTTTTTCCTTTTTTCCTCATATTTGTTTAAAAAAATTTTTTTCTTAATAAATTAAGTGAAGGGGAGCTGCCAATGGGGTAAAGGGCTGTGCCCGACCCCCTTCCCGGCCAGAGGCGGGACCTAGGTCCAGCCCAGGCGTGTGCTGGTGGCCCCGCTGCGACCTGCCGGAGGGCAGGCGGGCGGGGCATCCGGCTTCATCGAGATGCGCTGGCAGGGGCCTGCAGGGAGAAAGTGGGCGGGGGGCTCAGGGGCAGGGAGGCAGGGGCGGGTTGACCCACCCCACAGCCCGCCCCCTGCAGGTCCGCCCGAAGGCCCGCCCAGCGCCTTCGCTGCACCAGCGGCCTCACCAGCGTGAAGGCGTCATAGGCCTGGGCCAGCTCCTCGGTGCGGTACTGCTCCAGCACCACCACGCCCTGGAGACCCGCGCTGCGGCGCCGAGCACAGGCCTCACAGTGCACCAGGTAAGTGTTGCGGCTGCCGTTCTCACTCGTCACGAACAGGATGTTGAACACCTCCACCTGAGTCAGAAGTAGTCGTCACCAGTCACCGTCACCCAGTCACCAGGAGGAGCGCCCTTTGGGATCCTTACTCCCTTGGGAATAAGAGGGAAGCGGGCCAACTCACGTCGCACTCGTTGCAGTAGTAGGCAGGCTCATCCTTGACCCGGCCCTGGTAGGCAATTTTCTTCCCTGCTCGTACCAAGCTCTCCCGTTGCACCTGGCAGTGTTTCATGGACTGCAGGAGGCAGAACCTACGAGGCGGGAGGCAGGTGGGTGGTGGTGAGGCAGGACTGCCAAAAGGGCTGGGCAGAAGGCCTCATCTACTGGGCCCTGTTGAAATTTCATGTGGGTGTTTGTCTATTTGGGCCACTGTCAAGTAAAACTCAGATCAGGAACCTTATCACCTGCCCCAGCACTGTTAACAAACACTGCAGGGCGCATGGGTAAAGGGTGGAGAAGATGGAGAATGGGGCTGCATGCATTGGACAGGCAAAACAGGAGTGGAACCAGGTCTGGTAGAAATGGGCTCCCTCTCAAATAGGACCCTCACTTGATCATCTTGAACAAGTCGGGGTCGCTGATTTTGACGGTTCGAGCCACATTCCAGGACACGTGAATCATGGGCACAATGGATTTGACGTTCTTCACCTCGTTCCATTCATACCGTTCCAGGGCCAGCTGGTACTGATAGGCTGTGGGCCAGAAGCTGTCACTACAGGATTCTCAACTCCCAGCTACTTAGACCCCAGCTCCTTCCCTTACAGCTGGGCTCCTTGCCCTCCAAGCCCCCCATCAGGAGGCTCCACCCCCTCACCACTGAATGGTTCTGCACCCCACCCTCTCACCTGTGAGTGGCCCAACATTCCAGGCGATGTTGTTGCACCAACCGGTAGCCTGCACCCAGTGCACGGTCCCTGCGTTAATCCACACAAGGTCTCCAGGGCGCTGCACGAAGCGGTACACAGGGATATTGGAAGCATAGAGGTCATCCAGGATTGGCCACCAGGAACCTGTCAGGTAGTCCACACCGTGCCTGCGGAGAGGCCACAGTCAGATGGACATCTGGGGACCCAGAGACGGGACATGGGGGATGAATCTAGTGTGGGGGTGAGGGGGTGGGAGGGGCGCACACCGGTCGCAGAAAGCGCTGATGGTCTCCCAGTAGTGCTCGTGCACCGCGAACCACTCACAGTCGCCTGGGCCTATGTTGATATTGACAGAGCAGAAGTTGTTGTTCTCTTGGTGGCCTGCAGGGGGCGATAAAGAACATCATGGCTGGCCTAGACGAGCCTAAGCTCCGCCTCAAGGCCATCCTTTGGACCTCATTGGCTGACAGAGCAGCGCTGACACCCAGCCCCGCCCCCAGCACGCTTTCCGCACCTGGCGTTCGGCTGCCAGGGACCTTCATGTACAGCTGCACTGTGTTCATGCCCAGGATCGTGTGGCCCACGTGGCTCAACATGTTGCCTGTAGATGTTACCCGCATGAAGGCGGGCAGCTTCAGCAGCTCCTGTAGTTGTGGCTTCCACCTGTGGGCAGCGAGGGTTCAATAAAAGTGAGAGGTTACCCCAGCTCTTCAGACCCATCAGCACTTCTACCCCAGCTTTGCTGGCCTCAGTCCCACTGACCGCTTGGCATCAGACAGGTCGATGTTGGTGCCAAACTTGATAATGTGATGGTTCTTCGGATCTGGTGCACTGCTGCGGGGGGCAAAGAGCACACATTGATGGAGAAGCACAGGGAAGGGAAGAAGTCATGAAAGGAAGGGGCATACTGTACAGTACCTAGGAGGAGTTCCTGTGGTGCTGTCTGGCTCCTCTGACTCCTCATCCTCACTCTCCTTCTCCTCCTGCTTGGCCAGAGTCTGAGTCAGCCTCCTTCCAGGAACCCTCCCAAGTTAGCCCCACTCCAAGTCCCCTGATCCCACATCCTTGCCTCCCCATGCTTGCCTCTCACCTGCAGGGACTCCTGGAAGGATGAGGCCTGGTACTGCGCATACTTGGCAATGGTGGTATGGGAACGAGAACTCTCACAGGGCCAGATCTGTCGAGTGCCAGTCAGATCCCAGTTCTCATCTGAGGGCTGCTGCACCTGGGTGCGCACCTCCACAGTGTGCTCACCACTCGCCTCCACCAGAGTCTTGGTGGAGAAGAGGCCCAAGTCTGCAAGGGAGGGCCGAGTAGGGCATCAGGGCAGAGGCAGAGGGCAGGGAGTGAGGACCCAACTTACACTGTCCTTTCTTACTCCCCAAGCCTCTGACAGGTTGGACATAGGCTTCACAGTGGTAAGCCAGGGAATAGGCAAGAACCCCAGCCCCACAGGAAGCTGGGAATGTTCGCCATCCATCTCCAACCCCCTTTCTCCTACTGCTGCTCTGAGCTTCAGCCCCTCCTCAGGTGTGCATGAGGCCACAATGTGCACAGCATATAGTAGGTGCTTAATGAATAGCAGATCCTTTAAGTTATCATTGGAGGCAATGAAAGATTTAGTCAAGTGAAAGCCTAGAATGTGCTTTAAGTAACTCAGTGGAAGAAAAAATATATGGGTATAGAAGAAACAAGATTGATTCTTATATTTCTATATGGTTCCTTCTAATTTTATGTGTTTGGCCTAACCTATAGCTGACTATAGCTACTATCCTGGGTTTTCAGGTGTGGGGGCTCTCAAAGGGTTCCAAAGCCCCAAATCCTTACAGCCCCCCTCCACCTTTCTGCCCCACACACTCACTGAGACGCAGGGAACCTGCCAGGCCCCGGATCACGGTGATGGGATTTCGAGGGTCTGTACAGAACTGCAGCAGCACTGGTGAGAAGGCATCCCGTTTGCTCTCCAGCTGAGGGATGAACAAGAGACAGACTAGATCAGAGTCCTGTCCCAGGTTCAGAGCACCCAACAGCCCCAACACTGTCTTAGAACCCTCTGGCAGGGATATACATACATAGATGCTGGGTGTGGGTGGGTTGAGTTTTTCCCGGGGCAGCTTCTCCTCAGTGTTGATCTTCGGTTTCACAGACTGGGCAGGGGAAAGGTAGGACTCTCTAAACTTCCCTTTCACCTTGGCATTCCTGTGGGAGGACAATGAAATGAGGGCAGAAATAGGGTGATAAGTAAAGAGAGCCTCCCGCTGGGCCAGGCTAGCAGCCTCGTGGGTAACAGCCCCTAACTCACTTGCTGGCACGCACGACATCAGCAGCACAGTGGCTGATGGTGAGGTCCGCCATGCGCAGCCTCCGCTCTTCCACCTCAGAGGCGATAAAGGTCTCTTTGTCACCACTCTCTACCTTGATAAGCCGGATCTTCAGCTCCTTGGGGGGCCCTTCACTAAGTGATCTCAGCTTGAGCATGTCAGCCCGGCTGACACCTGGTGGCCCTGGAGCTTCCTCCCGAGACTTCTTCCCAGGGACAGGGGGTGATGTAGGTGTGGGCTGGGCAGAGGGTGCAGGAACTGATGGAGGGGCTGGAGCAGTGGCTGGTTTAGCTTTAGAGGCCCCACCAGTATCAGGCCGGGCCTTCTCACGACCCTGGATCTCCTCGCTCTGCAGGTCCAGGTTCCCCAGCACCCGGCGGCTCTTTTCTTTGGGGACCTTGGCTTTGGCCTTTGCCCTGCCCTCACGGGGCCGCCGACCCACAATGTCCTTACAGGCCCGCCTGTGCCGCCGATGCTCCTTCTGATGCTCCTTCTGATGTTCTTTCTGCCGCCGCTTGCTGCTGCCTGGTCCTGTTACTGCCACCACCCCACCACTCTCCTCCTTAGCCTGGGCAGGAGGCAGCAGTCGTTCAGTCCCACTGTCCACTAGGTCTGCCTTGTCCACAGGGTTTGCTGTGTCCACTGGGCCTGCTGGATCTGCGGCACTCCAGCCCACCCGCTCTACAAGAGTCTCACAAGCCCGACTGATCTCTTCTAGCACCTCAGACTCAGAGCGAGCAGGGGGCAGGGGCAGAGGTGGGGGCGAGGGGGCGGGGGTCATGGGGCCCAGGGCTGGCTCTTCACCTTCCCTGTGCTCCCGGACCCAGGGGCCGCCTGAGGTAGAGAACTGAGATGACGAGGAAGCAGAGGGCTGTGGGGAGCCCTGGGAGTTAGGGGCCGCTGAGGTGGGTGGTGGGGCGGTAGCACCTGATGGGGGACTTGGGGAATACTGAGTGGTGGGCAAGGGCCCAGGACGGGTAGAAACTGCTGCTCCAGTCCCCCGGTAACAGTACTTTTGTCCCTCCAGTACGGAGGCCAGGGATTTGAGCAGGCTGGCTGGGCTGGCTGCTGGGGGTAGCGGGGGTGGTGGTGGCTGTGGCTGGGGAGGTGGAGGGAACTTGGCTAGTGGTGGTGGTGGTGGCAGAGCTGGTGGTGGCTTCTTCTCCTGTTCTTGGGTGGCTGTGGCTGTGGTGGTGGTGGTGGTGGTGGTAGCGGTGGCGGCAGCGGCAGTGGTGGTTGGGGCTGTGTCACTGGAGAATGGAGGCTGCAGAGATGCAAAGGGCTCTTTCAGGGGGGGTGGAGGTGCTACGCCTGCCTCCTGTTGTTGCTGCTCCTCCTCCTTGCGAATGGATTCATCTAGCATCTTCATGATGTTGGCCAGCCCATCAGGTAGGATCTTGAATTCAGCGGGCTCCTCAAACTGGTCCTCCAGTGGGGTAGGGGGAAAATCAAAGAGTCGCGCACCTCGGGCAGGCAGTTCCCCAACTGTCGGGGGCACGGGCTGGGGGGCTTTATTCAGGGGGCCTGGGGATGGCCCTGGCCCCACCTCGGGGGTCTTTGGGAAGGAGATCCTGGGCCGAGGGCTCTCCGGGCGCCTGAAGTTTCCTGAGGTATTTTGGTGGCAGGAGGAGGGAGGGGCTGGAGGCAGAGCAAGAGTTAGGGGTGCAAGAGGTGGGTCCTGGGGACTCAGTGTTGGGCTGGGGGGCCTGGAAAGGGGGTCCATACTTCTGGCCAAATAGGGAGGTGGGGGGAAAGACACAGGCCCAGGAGGGCTGCTGCTGTGGCTGCCATTGTTGCTGCTACTGCTGGTGGTTGGGGGAGTAGGAGGGATGTGCGAATCCTGAGTGCCCACAGAAAAACGGGGGGCCAGAGGCCCCAAGAAGCCCTCACGGTGCGGGAAGGGTGGTGGAGGAGGGCGAGGGCGTCCCTCAGCCCCGAAGAAGAGATCCTCTAAGATCTCTCCATCCTCTCGGGCTGACCGGCTAGCCGGGCCTTTCAGCCAGGCAGGGGGATGTGGGGGGCGTAAGAGGCGGGGACAGGGGGGTGGAGGAGGTGAGGGGGGGCCAGGTGGCAGGGACAGGTGGGGAGTGGCAGCAGGACCTGCCAGGAAAGGTTTCCGACCACTATGTGTCGAGGGCCCCAGGCGACCTTGGTGAGAAGTGACCTCCAGCGCGGGAGTTTGGTAATGGTCAGCGCCGGGCTGCAAGTGAAGGATAAGGTTGGTCAGAGGTCTGTTAGAACCACCTCAGACAAGCTCCCATTGATCACCCTACTCCATCTTCCACCTGCGGTCATCACTCACAATGCCTGGGTTCGGCTCCATGCCCCGGAGACCAGGGTTGCTGCTGCTGCTACTACTGCTGCTGCTGGTGGTGGTACCGGGGAGGCCGGGGGGCCGGGAAGGGGCGTAAGGCACGCAGGCGGTGGTTGCTGCTGGTGAAACGCTGGAGTCCATCCGCGACCTCTGAACTCTGCTCTCTCTAAGGTCACTTCCGGGGGGACGGGTGGCAGGCGGGCAGCCATGGCTCTCTGCTCCTGGGGGGCGGGGGCCTGGGCCTGGGGGTGTAGCTGAGACCAGCCGGTGGCCAGGGGGTTGCGCAGTGTAGGCTGGAGCTGGATATGGATATGGATGAGGCAGCGAGTGCCGCTGTTCCTGCGGGAGACAAATGAGGATACTGAGTGAGAAATGGAGAACACAGGAACTTGCAGGTAAGAGATGAGGGTCGACAGACAGTTGCTTACCTGGCGCTCTGGGGGTGCTGAACCCTTGCGTTCAGGGCCCCAGGTATCTCCATGCAAGGTACTCCACAGCCCTGGCTTGGTCAGCTGAAATGGAGGGCTGGTGGCTAGGCCAGGTGGTAGGGGTGGTGGTGGTGGTGGTGGTGGTGGTGGTGGTGGTGGTGGTAATGGTGGTGGTGGCAGTGGCAGCCCTGGGGGAAGGCCAGTCTAGAAGAAAAGGGGGTGTGAGAATCCCATTCCTTGCCCTAGTCCTCCCACTCACTATCTATTTGCCCACATACAACCATACCTGCTCAGAATTACAGCCTCTCCTTCGTTTGCCTCCAGGGCTGAGACCCTCCTCCCCTGATGGGCCTGAGAGTACTGCAGGAGGCACAGGCTGCACCACTGGGGGTTCAGCGGCTCGCTTCACTGGGGGACCCCCCCTCTTAGCCCCATAGTTCCGCTTGTGCTGAGGACAAAAAGAAGAGGAGAAAGAATGGCTCAAGTGCATATTTGGCCCAGCCCTTCTCCCTATCCCACCCAGCCATGGACTCACCTCAAGATGTAGCAAGTTCCATACTTGCTCCAGCGGGGGCAGGATCTTGGTTCGGTGCTGGCAGGAGCCAGCATGAAAGTTCCAGAGCTGGGCCTGGGGAGGTGGAAGAAGGGTGCAGGGGACAGGACAGAATCAGTCATAAGACAAGGGCACTGAGCCAGAAGGCACAATCCTTGCCTCTTATGTCCTGTCTCATCCCACCTGCTGTAATCGGCCGATATGAGGCCCCAGCTCAGCTAAGCTTCCTCCATATCGAAGGGCGCTGTGGTAGCAGCGTATGGCCTCCTCACTGTCATGCTCTGACTCGTACAGCTGTCCAAGCTGCTCCCACAGCCCTGGCTGGGCTGGTTCCCGGAGCAATGCCTGCACACAGCTATGCAGGGATTCCAGCTTTCCATGGAGGGGTCTTGGGGTGGGTGTCCTACAGAGCAGAAGGGATTGGAGAGGGGGAGTGATCAGGGTTGGGGGAACTCTTTTAAAGTCCCAGCCTTACCTCCCATCCCTAGCACCTTTGAATCCTCACTCACCCTGGAATATAATATTGTTTGTTGGGGTGCCCAGAGCTACTGCCATGTGAAGGGGGTATGGGAGCAGAAAGTGGAGGCTGCCCGATGCTGGCAGAGCACCTGGAGAGAGAAGGAGTCTGTTAATGTACATCAAGATGGCGCAGTCTTGTCCCTACTTAGGAAGGAGGGGACTGGGGGAATAAGAGAAAACAGCTGAGGACTACACTGAGGCCCACAGAATGACAGAAACCCAGAGAATGACAGAGATTGAGGGGCACAAGCGGTAGGAAGACAAAATGTGAGACAGAAAGATGGCCCAAGTTCTCACCTGCCTCCAGGCAGCCATGCGCTACGAGGAGGGGGATGGGGCGGGCAGGGGCTCCAGGCCCCAGCACAGCTCAAGCCCCCAAGGGCAAAGGCTTCCCGTGCAGCGCGGGCCCCTGGAGGGTCCACTGCCCGATGCATCCAGCCTGAGTCAGGGAAAAGATTATGGTCTTACTAGGGACATAGCCTGAGCTGCCTGTAAACACACAGCCAACCCAGCCCTAGTCTTTCCCTTACCAGGTCAGCAGTGGCCCCAGGAGCCCTGGAGATGGGGCACGGCCCCCTGCCCCAGCTCTCTGGGGCGATGGTCCCAACTCTAGCCGCTCTGACAGGAGATTGCACTGCCCCTGAAGGCCGCCCAGGGCCTTTCACGGCCAATTCTACAGAGAAGAGGAGGCAAAACAGTGAAGTGAGCTAGCCAGAACACAGTTCAGGAGCTAGACTGGCCTGGCTGTGGCACCCACTGGTCTGTGATCAGCGCAGGGAGTCAGGCCTTGGCTTTCCCTGAGAGTAGGCCCACCGGGCCTACGAAACCCCTAGAGGATCAGGAGAGTGGGCTAGGAACCGGTAAGAGTAGCAGGGAGCAGGATAGTCAGTAGGGAACCGTCAAGTAACGCCGCAGCGGCTTACCCGGCCTCCGTGGGAGCGTCCCCTCACAGCGTCAGCGAACTCCAGGAATCTGGCCAATCACAGGACTTCCTCTCTGCCCAGAAAACCAATCATCACCCGCGTCTCCGCCTCAGTAACAGCCTGCCCCGGGCCAATAGGAGCGAGGTTAGCCCAGCTGCTGAGAGCAGGGGGGAGGAGGGGCAGCGGAGCCGGACAGACAGGCTCGGCCCCAGGTGACCCCGACGTGACCCAGCGGCTCCAACCTAGGGTCTCCATCTCAGATGTGACACTCGGGGCCAAAAGAGGCAAGCGGGGCCTGTAACCATGTGGGTAAAAGAGCGAGTCGCACTGCCGGGCCGGCCTGGGGGATAACGCTACCCGCAAGTCCCACGCACTCACAGAGCCGCCAGTGCTCCCCGTTAGTCCGCCCGAGATGCCCGCTCCCCGCCCCGCCGCTGTGAGACCGATGGACCGTAGACAGATGCACAACGCAAACAAAGGCGTGCTCGCTTTCCTCACTTCACCTCGCCAGTGCCTGACCTCCCCACTCGGAGTGCCTCCTGGAATTACTTAGCCAGTCACAGTGACTTCTACGGCACCTAAACCCGCCCACGCTGCGATCTGAGATCTGAGCGTCCCATTCCCCACGCCTGACCCCATCCCAAACCATGGTCAAGCTCCCAGCCTCATACCCAGTACCTTCGGATCCTCCACTTCTCCTGGCTAAGTCTTCAATACCAGCCGACCCCGAAAAACCAAACCCCAACCTCTGAGAAGTCGCGCACCACGGTTCCCAGTGTTCCCTCTCGCGTGGCTCCAGTATCCTCTATGCCCTTCCCCGCCGGGGCCACGCGGTTCCCCACGGCCCACGTGGCCCCCGCCCCCCAAGGGAGGGGGGATTTCGGGGGTTGCCCGTGACGTGGCTACTTGCGCAGCGGAAGCGGCGTGTGTAAGTGTACCGCTGGGGGGGGGGGTCCTTCGGGAGGGAGGAGGGCGGGGCCCTAAGGGCGGTGACATCACCCTTGTCCCACTCTCACCACCCACTCCCTTAAAGAACCCAAAACCAGTTTCACTTCCTCCTTCACGCCCCCCCCCCATCCCTTCCCGTCGGTGCTGGCTCGACCCACAAAGGGCGCAGCGCTCCCCTTTCCTGAGCACCTTCCCTTTAGGCCCAGTTTTTCCTTCTCGCCTCTCAGACCCCAGGATCTCGGTCCCCGTGCCTCCTCCTCTCCTGCCCAGCCTTCCCTCAGGTGGGGAACCGGGTCTGTTCCAGAGATCAGTCCATTGAGAGTCTAGAGTACAAAGAGCTGCGAAAGGCGAGTGTCGAGTACAAAGCGGCGGGGGCGGGGCCAGCGCTCCAGCTGGAGCTCTAGCCGGGCAGGAAGCCGGGGGAGAACGCAAAGAGGGGCTGGGGGTGGCTGGAAAGTTCGCCTTCGCTGAAAAGTGTTCTGTGGGGAAATTTCCACCCAGCCCACAAGGGCAAGTGGGTTTCTGGTCAAAACAGTCCTCTCTCCACAGGGCAAGGTTGTCTGTCTGCATTCAAGCGCTTGGACCCTACAGGTCCCTGCGTGCCACTCCCCACCGAACCCTGGGAGGCCCTCTCCGAAATTCACGTGGAGTTTCTACCAGAACTCTCACTCTCCACACCACACAGCCTTTCGGTCAGTTACCAAGCTCTGGGACAAATACTGCGCTTCACTGTGGTCAAGTATAGCCCTGGCCGACTGCTCTCACCCAACCCCAAGTCCAGGGATCTATGGCCCAGACATGGGAAAACCGGGAACAGGGAGGGTCCAGATATTAGAAGCACAGAACCCCACTTGGGAAGTGGTGTCGAGGGCGCTGCTAGTTACCAGGAAATGCAGCTTCCCCTTCTGCGATGATGACACTTCCCCTCTACCACTTCCCCTTTCCCACGGGGAACTGACTCAGCTTTCCCTAAACCAGCGAGTTCAGCCCCTTCAGCCCCTTCCCATCTTTATCCACACCCTCACCCCCCCCCCCCCCGCCTGCCGGAACTCAAAACACAACAGCTCTCACTTGAGGATAAAAACTTCCTGTATACTAAACACACACTCATTCTCGCCAACCACCGTGGATCCTTGTCCCAACCTGGGACCCAGGCTCCTGACTCCCCATCCGCCTCCCGAACAAAACCTCCCTCGGGGTCTGATTCAGGCTTGAGGTGGGGGACGGTGAGTCACCCTGAAAACCTTCCCCTATTCCCACTGACTCAGCCCCCGCCTCCCTGAAAACACAGACACACAGTCATTGGCAGACACAACTCAGCCCACACACTGCTCACCACGGGTCCCGCGGAATTTCCCCTCTCGTCTTCCCCCACGATGGCCCCTCCCTGCGCCTGGCAGCCCCGATGCCGCGCTCACACCTGTTCCCCAGGCGCCCGCAGCCGGCAGTCCACTCTCACCTCCACTCTCGCTTTGGGGCAGGAACAGCCCTCCCCGACTGCCAGTGTCCGTACTAACCAAGGGGAGGGAACAACCACAGAGAGGCACAAAAACAGACACCCAGACTCCTCGACGACAGATGAGAGGTAGTCGCACGCGGCCAAAGCCAGGCTGGGAGGACAGTATAGTCATGAAGCAGACATTCCAGCTTCTCCCGCTGGACCCACAATCCCGAGAGTCAGCAGCTCATAAAGGGTTAATTCCTCTCCAGCCGAGGCCACGCCCTCCCCATCCGGGCACTCCCGGCTAAGCGCAGCTCCGCCCCCTCCATCCGGGCTCCGGACTCGGGGACTTTAACCGACCCCCTCCCCCTAGAGTCCCGAGAGAAACCCACTACATCAATCACGCCCACTTAACTCTCTCCGGGCTTGAAGCCCGAAAAGCTCTTCCACGCACCGCTCCAGCCGCGCGGGACGCGGAGTAAGGGGCCAGATGGGCACACGCCGACTCACAAGCTGGCCAAAGACAAGACCCTGCAAATAGGGTTTTATCAAGCAAGCTCGCTGCACTCGTATGGAACCCTGCCGCACCCAGCTCCCTGCCAAGCCTCACTCTGCTGGGTGGAAACGAGGGGCTACAGGCTTGTTTCTTACCTGGGGGAGGGGAGGCGTGGGAGAGGGCCGCCGGCTGAGACTCGGCTGTGACTCAGCCACCCGGGCAGGCCGCCCGCTCGGGATTCCCTTCCCCAGCCTTCCCCCGCTTCTGGCCCCTCCCCACCCCCCACCAAGGAGTGACAGTGCCGGCCCCGGCCCGCTGTGTGTCACTGTGAGCCTTGTGTCTGACTCTGACTGGACCGCTCTGTTAACCAGTCTGTATAACAAGGTCGACTCTGTGTGGGTCTCTCGGTGTGTCTCCGTGTGCACCTGCATACTCATCTTGTCTTTAGTGCCTGTGTCTGACGCGTTCCTGTCATTATGCCTGTCTACATGACTCTGCGCAGCTGTCTGTTTGTATGTCTGCCTAGCTCCTGTCTCAGTCTTTTGTCTGGGTGTACCTCTGCATCACTTTCATAATCACGTGTGTCTCTGCAGATACCTTTCTGTGTTTGCCTTCATGTTCCTAAACAGAGAAACACTGGAGCAGACTGACCCTGCTGACTCTTCCCCTCACTCTCCTGGGTCCTGATATCCTGCTGGATCAGTGATCTTCTGTTTGACAAGTATTTGGGTGTCTGCCTTCAATCAAGTTCTATCCTTATTCCTCAATATCCTTGCTCATCCTCCAGTTCCCTGGGGCTCCCATTATGATAAATGCTAGCATTTACTGAATACTTATTACATGCCAGTCACTGTGTTAGTCATTTTCTATACATTTTTAAAACTCTTCCCCAAAATGTAATGTAGGAGTTACTTTTATTACCCCATTTTACAGATGAGGAAATAGAGGCTCAGGAGGTTAGGTAACTTGGTCAAGGTCATTCTACAGGAGAGTGGAAGAGCTGGGCTTCTTTCAAGAGCCTCATTCTTACCACCTGTCTATAATGCCTCTGACCTATTCTCTCTCCATTGGTTTTATCCTGACAGGCCAGTTCTTGGGTCAGCCTGCCCTTTAGCTCTACCCCAGTTTACCATCCCAAATGCCTCATGTCCTCTAAAGAAGTTGTGGGAAGGAGGCTATGCAACAGATCTCAGAAGCCATAGTTTTCTTGGCCATGATGCTCATTCAGTTAACACATTCATTCAACACAATTCCACTGAGGCACCCCAAAGTGCAAACCATCTTGCCAAACAGAGACACATAGGAAAAAACAAAACAGTCCCACTCAAAATTCAGTGAGTAATGAAGAGCAAAGCACACTCAGAAAACTTAAGTTCTTGCCTTAGATACTATCTTTTCTCCTACAGAGGAATGGGGTATAGAACAGGGCCTCGGGCTGAGAACTGGCAGGAGAGAGGTAAGCAGTAGAGAAGTAAAACTGGGGGGGGGGGGGGGGGGGGAAAAGTTGTAGTGCAGTGGGGAAGGAACAGAACCGAAGAGTATATGAAAAGAAAGGTGAGATGCCAAGACCATCATAGCAAGTGCAGTTTGTAGCAATGGTCTCCAGCTTCTCCCCAAATCCACAACTCTTATAAGGACAAAGCTCTTCCCTGCCCATCCCAAGAAAAATCCTTCCAGTGTCTCTCACCTCTATGTTCTAGCTGACAAACCCTAGTTTAATGCAATTCAATCAGCAACTGAGTTGTAGCACTAGAGGGAGAAGATTTTTTGGTGGTAGTGGAGAGGCTGATGAAGTACAAGGCTAAACCATTCATAGGCAACAGAGGGGAGCTTCATAAACTAGGAAGGCTGAACCACTCAAGCACCACGATGGGGGGATGCTCAGAGTTGGACTGGATCATTCTGAGGAGTGGGCATGATCCAGATTACACTACTCTTCTTCAAGCATGTGGTGAAGACTGGACTATTGGAGTAAGGTGGGGTGTAGTGTTCAGGGGTAGGACTTACCAGATGGAGTTTGGTGTGCCCTCATTGGAATCAGTGCCCCAACAGTGGGGTGCAGCAGACCACAGTGGGTGAGGTGGGTGGTATTATGGGGCTGGCATGGTGCCTGGGGGAACCTAAAAGAAAAAAGCCAGTTAGAGGTGGGTTCTCCCAGTCTAGATAATTTCCCTGTGCTATCTGTCCCCTTATTGAGGAGAAACCTGGCTCTAGTGATTAGATGGGATGGGAGAATCTGTTTCCATGGCAACCAGAAAATGCCATACCCAAAGTAGTCCTCCAGCCTTTCCCTTTAGGAAGCAGCCTGGATCTGGGGTAAGGGGATCATGCTATGGAATCTGCATAAGTCCACAGTGGTCACCCAACCCATGATCCCTCCTCTTACTGGACTCTCCTGCTGAGAGTCCCTAGCCCTAGAGTAGGCCCAGCTACCCCAGACATCTGTATCCAAGTCAGCTTCAGTACTGGCCTCAGGCAAGCAGATCCTCTTCTTTCAGCTCTGCCTCCTCTCTAACCTTATCAAGATACCAGTCAACCCCACCCTCTGGACTCTGCCCCCTCCTCTTCCCCTGGCGGGTGCAGGCAGGTCTCCTGAGCAGCACAGGTGGCCAGACTAGATGAACAGGCCCAGCAGGGAGAAGCCTTCCTCCTCAGCAAGGGTTGTGACTCTGGTCCTGGATCTGGAAGTGGCCTCTGCTGCAAGCCTGTCTTCCATCCTACCCCTCAAGGCCATATCCTGTTTCCCCATCACCTCCTTCCTCTGTGTGGCCCAAGAAGGTGATAGAGACCCACTCCCTCTTCTAACTCTCAAAGACAAGCTAGATCTTTTAACATAAATCTAAGGTCAAGAATTAGGTGTCCATCCAGGGGTCAGATCTAAATCTGCCTTAAACTTCAAACTCACTCCTCAGGGATCTGTTTTCTGCTCCCTTAGCCACAGTTCTCTGCCCTTAAGAACCCAGATTCTTGGCCCATCCCAGACACTTGGACTCTCAGTCCAGTCTCCATTCCCTGGCCTTCCAGCCCCCATCCTTCCTCTGCCCCAGAGACTCAGGCCTCCAGCCCCCAGCCTCCAGCCTCCATGATGCAATGTGCTGCAAGCTGCCTGGGCTGCTGATGACACTGCCCCCAGGGATGTGCTATTTCTGACCCATGCAAGGCCCCTCACTGGGCCAGGGTAGTGGTCAGCTGCAGTCTAGGGAGGCCAGGCTGGCAAGGTGCTTCTGCTGGAGAAGGGAGCTTGAGGCTAGAACCCTCCAGGACAGGGACACTCAGAATGTGGAATTAGGGAGAGAGAGAGAATGAGAGAAAAAGAGATCTATACCATTTGTGTATGTGGTTATGTTGGAAGGGAAGTGGACACTGGGGAAGCTCTAGCCTGGAGAGAGAGGAGTGCCAGGCCTTAGGACAAACCAAGAGAAGGAGTGAGGGGCAGCCAAGGGGGTCAGTGGTGGGTGTATGGGGTGTCTGGACACCAGAGTGGGGGAGGGGCCAAAAGCCATTTAAAGGGCCAGCCCCAGAGCTTTAATCCCTCACCAGCCCTGGCCTGAAGCCGGAGGCTGTAATTCATCTGTCCAACAGCTGGGGTGGGTGTGTTTGGGGGGGGGGACATGTGGACTGGGAGAGGGAACTGGGGGAGGGGCTGGGGCTTTCTTGTGCACAGAGCCAAACAACAAAAGGGGAAGCTGAAGGACCAGCTCCAGTGTACCCAAACCAGGCTGCTGACCTGCAGACTTGCCAGTTGCCCCAACCTGGTGGCTGAAGGGCTCTGTAGTTTGTACTCAATGATTCCTGGCCAAGGAGTCCTGGCCATGAACCCAAAAGTGGGCCTTGGAGAAAGCCCAGGCTGAATGCCCCCCCAGGGGCAAGCTGTCACCCCTCCTTGCACTTTCCCAGCCGCAGCAGTCCCAGACCTGGCAAGCCCCACAACAGACTCAGCCTCAAATGCCCTGCTCTTCAGCCAAGCCTCTCCAGACATGGCCTGCCGGCTCCCCTTCTCGCTGGCACAGGATGGCAGCAGCCACACTAAGACTGTCCCTTTAAATCATTACCACCCCTGATTATGTGGACTAACCCAGGGCCCTGCCCCCCAGGCAGGCTGCTCACCACCCCCCTCCCCATGAGTCCCCAGAAATGTGAGGGCCATTTAAAGGGACAACAGAGGCAGCCGGGTTGCTAACCACCCTCACACCCCCCACTCCGCACACACATTCAAAGCCCCTTTCCCAAGCGACATACAGCCCTCTGCCCCTCCAGAGGGCCCCCCAAATTCCGGTTCTCTCCCCACCCCTAGAGACTGCTAGAAGGAGAAAGGGGGCCAGAGTTGGGGGGCGGGGAACTGGGGGAGAAAGGAAAGGACAGGGACTCCCTCCTTCCTCAGAGCCCCAGGGGACAGGTCAGAAGGAAAGCAAAGCCCGGAAAAGCAGTGAGACAGAGCCCCAAAAGGTGCCGCAGGCAGACTTGGGGCGAACAGGCTGTCGGGTGAGGGGAAGGGAGTCGGGCTGCACGAGACCGTGGCGCGGCCAGCAAGCGACAAGCCCAAGTCGGAGAGATGGAACAAGAAGGGCCAGGGAAAAGAGGCAAGGCCGGGAAAAACGAGGAGACGGAGCCAGGGAAAGGGGTCATCGGGGAAGGTGTGGAGGAAAATCCGAGGAGAGGGCGAGCCAGGCCTGGGTTACCTGCTGGGTGTCTGTCCCCCGGCGGTGCCCCCGGAGTCCGGGTAGGGAGGGGGGAGCAGCAGGGGGGGAGTGGGGGCTGGGGGGGGGCGGGGGAGACAGTCCCTCCTCTGCCTCCTGGGCCTGCCCCAGCGCTTGCAGCCTCTGCCTCCCTCCCTCCTCCTCCCCGTCCCTGAGTCCCGGAGTCAAACAAAGAACTGTAGCAGGCTCTCCCCAACCCCCTTCCTCCTCCTCCTCCTCCTCCTCCTCCTCCTCCCTCCCTCCCTCCTCCTCCTCCTCCTCCTCCTCCTCCACCTCCACCTCCTCTTCCCTTCCCTCCCTCCCCACCAGCAGGCTCTCTCCTCCCTTCCGGTCTCTTCCTTTAACCACCAGCCCCCCCCAACCCCCCCACCCCAGCCCCCAGCACTAGTCTCTCTCCACCCACCCACCCCAACATTTTACACACCCCTTAGCCTAGCCCCGTCCCCGAAAAGGAAACTGTGGAGTCCCTTTGCAAATTGAAAGGCTCCAGAGAACAACATGGGGAGAGGACAGGGGTCTTGCTTAAAAGTCAAGAACCACAATACAATTATTTTATTTTCACAGTCAGAGGAATAGTCTTAGCTGTTTCTTCTCCAAGAGGAGGGAAAATAATCCTAAAGAAAGCAATACAAATCTGACTAAAGCCTTCATCAAATAAAGTACACAAAGCAGTAGAAGCTAATCCCCAGCCCCCCTCACCCCCCACCACCAAATTAACACAAACTCTCCACTTCTCCCTAAAGACCTCCTAAGGTACTGGCCAGTTTAAAGCAGGCCTACCAACTTTAATAATAAAAATAATAACTAACACCACTTAGCAATAATAAGCACTTCATAACAAGCATTCATTCAGTGTTCATTCGGTGCCAGGCACTGTGCTAAGAGAGCCGAGGGAGGTGCTAAGGTGCATAAATCATCACATTTTTATCCTCCCAACGACCTAGAAGGTAGGTACTCTATTGATATTTAAATTTTCCAGATTAAGAATCTGAGGCTCAGAGAGGTTGTGACCTTTCCAAGTTCCTATAGCCACTAAGTGGCAAAGCTGGGAATGGAATGAAGTCTGATCTGGCAGCCCAAGCTCCAAGGTATATAAAAAGAGAAACCAATTTTTCCCAACACCATAACCAACTCCGGGACTTAACTCAATAGACATGGGCAGCCATAGCTATCAACTGAGTTATCCTCCATTAGGAGAGAGATACATCCACCTACACAGGATAAACACACTGACTTTTCAATCTAATTTTGCTTCTTGACCCTTCTTCTCACTGTTGGAGTAGAGGTAGGGGTGCCATTGATTAAAGTCAGAGATAAGCTGTTATCCAGTGAATCCTCCTTACCACAAACAGCTCTTCTCCTGGGGGTAGCTATTTTGCCACTATTCTCACTTAAACACAAAATGACCACTGGGCAATAGGACACTAGGCGATGCAGGAGGTGGGAAAGTAAAAAGACACCTGGGAGGCTCTTTCAGGGGGAGGAGGGGGCTTGGAAGGAAAGCTCTTCTGTGCCAATCTAGGAAAAAGTGACCCAGAGTTCTTTTAGCCCAGCAAAGGGTTGTATAGTCTTTCCACCACACCACACCCGTGCCCCTCCCCCTCATAAAACTCCATGCCAGGGTTTCCCACCTGCTGGATGCTACGACCAAGGGAAGGGCGAAGAGGAAAAGATGGCACGGGGCTGGATCTGAACTCGGGGCAGAGGTTGGGGGCCCGCAATGGATAGGGGAGGAGGCCTCCGTGCCTGGCAACAATCCCGGGGCACGTGCACTGGTGACATCATCCCAGGCCACCTCTAACACAGACCTTTGACACCTAGAGGTGGGGAGGGGCCGCAGGCCAAGCTTCCTGGGAAATAGCCCTAGGTATTCTGGGAACCCAAAAAGGAGCAGAAGGTGAAAGCAGAACCCTAACATCTTGCTCCTGCTTTTATCTCTTCTACCCCCAGTACGACTCCAATCCCAGGGACTCGGATCTCTCGGCTCCACCTCTCCGCCTCCGGCCCTGACCTCCCAACCCACATTTCTGACGGAGTCCTGACACGCCTTTCAGAGATATTGCACCTTCTCTTTCCTCAGCAAGATTTCGGGTGGGAGGTGGGAGGTATAGAGCGGGGGCACCGGATCCCGCACGACTCGGTCTCCCATCTGTGAGATCTCCCGTGCCCCTGCCGGCCGCCAGCCGGAATCTGTCTGGGTCCCCAACTCTTCTGCCCCTCCCAGCGCTGTTCCAGGGCGGAGTCTGCGGAGTTGAAACCAGGACACGGCAAGAGGAAGAGTTATATAACCGGGAGAAGCTGGGAAGGACGAGGGAGACGGGCACAAACGGCTCGAAGAGAGCCGAGGGAGGTGCAAAGAGCACCAGGGCAAGTGGGGAAGGGAAGGATTTTTGTCCATATCAGAATTCACGCGAAGAAGGGGCGTGATGGCCGGAGAAGAGTCACCAGGGCGGCCTGGGGCTTCCCTGCAGGGCCCTCCCACGCCACCAAAAACAGCAGCTGGGCCCGAGAGAGTGAACCCTCGGGAAGGGGCGCTGGTACCCGTTCGGTTCCTCTTGGGGAGGCAACCTAAGCCAGAGTCCGAGAAGGCTGCGGCGTCTAGTTTACGGGGCCGGAAACCACAGCTCCGCCCAGCCCACCACCTGGGAGAGTGGGGCGCCAGCTGGGAGGTTGGTGGGAAACAGGTAGCCAGCCTATCTCACCCAAGGCTGGGTATGAACGGTTCGAAACCTAGAGAAAGAGAGCACGCGGACCCAGACGTCTGGGTCGGGGGAGGATGAGGGGCCCAGTCCAGCACTACCCAGCAAACCTTCTCAAGGGGCACTGGGGCGGTGGGCGGTGAGCGCGGACCCGTGGCGCAGGCGCGGGGGGTGGGGGGGGCGGGTTCCGACGCGTGCGGCGGAGGGAGGGGCAGTGGGCGCGAGCGTGTGGGAGTGCACGTGCAGGTCCCCGGCAGCTACCCCTTCCTTTCCACAACCTCTGCCCCTCCCCTCTCCCTCTTTTTGTCGCTCTATAATATTTCCTCCACATTGGCTGCCAGCGCTCTGATGTCAGGGACGTCCGCTGGAGCGGATTGGACGGACGCGAGAGTTTGGGAATCCGGCTCGGTAGTGTAGCTCTCCAGTTACTCTGGCAACAGGGCAAGCAACCCCGGGAGGGAAGGGGAGCGGAGCTCACCGACGCGCCTGGGTCCCGCCTCCCTCCTGACAACCGCTGAGTCCGTTTCAGTGCCAACTCGCTGCCTCCCCTCCCTCCTCCCAGGCCCTCCCTGTCCCGAGATCCAGGCATCCTGCCCTCGACCTTTCCCAGCCTCCCAGCCCCCTGTACTCGCCAACTCCTACCCCAAGTCAGAGCCACAAACCACAATAGACTGGCAGCGAATCTGTGTTGCTTAGTAACCAACCCGCGTGCCCCCTCCTCACTATTTACCCCAGCCCCGGGAGGCGGAGACTGAGTCCCTAGCCCCCTCACCATCCTTTGCCTTTTGCCCTCCCGCCCACAATTTCCTGTGAGTGGCCGAGATGACAGGAAACCAAAAAAGCACCTCAGCCCACCTTTCCCTCTAGCTAGGGAGGAGGGCTTCGGCTGCCTTCAAGGTCCTACTCCCCATCTCCACTCAGCTAGGGCTGTGCGTCTCACCCTCGCCATCTCGTGGCTATGTCGGGAAGGTCAAGCACAAAGAAGGGCCCGACCAAGCGAGGGCTAGGAACGTCAAAGGGCAGAGTGGGGCAGGACCATGAATGACAATACGAGCCGGATGAGGCTGGGTGATGGGAGGTGAGGTGCGGCGGCGGAGATAGGGCGGAAGTCGCCTCTTGGAGACTATCAGGGCTCATGCTGTTAGGGTCAGAGCTGAAGCTATAACCCCTACTCGTGGAAAGTACTGGGGAGAAATTCGAAGGGGCCCGGGGATCGGAGACACATCCCTGCCAGACCACGTCCGACCTTCAAGGCCATCGTACTGACCTGTCTGCAAACCCTGACCTTTAATTAGGCATCACCTAGTCCTGCCCCGCCCTATTTTCGGGATGGGAATCCCAGCCCAAGGGGGACTGGGAGTCCTTTCAGGCCCCTCTTAACATCCGGAACCCAAGCCATCTGCCTCTCAGCTCTTCCCCCTCCCCGCTCTGCTCTTTTCTAGGGGACTCGATGTCCTTCGCCCCCCGTCTTCTTCCCAGTGCCTTTGCTGAGACCCAAACGTCCATCCCCAGCTCTACTCTGCCTGCCACTCAGGCGTCCCGCCCCCCTGTGAGATGGTTTCCCTCTTTCCAGACACCCTTGCGATTCCCCGTTACCTGATTCTAGGGTGTCCCAGGTGTTCAGATTCCCCAAGGTCTCCCAGGGGGTCGAGCGGCCCCCCCTTCTCCCAGGTTGGGGCTGGGGGGGCCGCTCCGCCCCGTGGCGCAGTTGGATTTTCCAACACAAACACCGCCCCCCCAACCCCGCCTCCTCCTCATGGTCCCGCCCCTCCTCGAACCAAAGTACCCCCCCCTTCTTGGGCTCCGCCCCGCCTTTTGCCTGTAACTCTCGCCTCAGGGCAAGTGCGAAATAAGATACCAAATGCGGGTTGCGGATATGGGGTGCAAGCTGCGGGGTCCAGCCCCATCCTTGTCTATCAAACCCCTATTCCATTTGGATTACGCGCCTTTACGAACTAAATCCCGCCCCGGGTTCTAGTTCAGCACTGAGATTTGGCCACACCCTCTTTTGGCCCTACCACCCTGCCATTCATTCGAGGCCACGCCTCTGTCTCAAGGCCTCCCACTTCCCTTGCTTCTTTCCTCATCTAGTAGCAGCTCATCAGAGCTCTTCGGTCCTCTTAAGGTCAGGCTTCCTCCTCAAACCCCACTGCCCCATTGAGAGACTCAGGGCTTGTAATCGCAGGTGTTTTACTGCACTGAATTCCAATACAATTCTTCCACCTTTATGGCTAGCACACTAGGTATCTCCAAGTCCCCATCACACAACAAATTCA